CCCACTCCAATTGGGGTCACGTGACCACCACACCGGCGGGGCCTGATCCGAGCGCGGGCGAAGGCTCTGCTCTGCCCCTACTCCAGTTGGGGTGATGTGTGTACCACACTGGCAGGCCGCTGGGCCTGACCCGCCAGTCTGTCGCAGGTCTGCTTACCTTGCAGGCGCGGGCGTCGGCTCTGCCCTGCCCCTCCTACCACGCCCGTGTACCACTGGGTCGCGGGTCTGCCCACCTTGCGGGCGCGGGTGGTGGCTCCGCTCCGTCCCCTCTCCAATTGGGGTCATGCGATCACCACGCCAGCGAGCCGCTGGGCCTGCTCCGGGTGCGGGCGGCGGCCCGGCTCCTCCCCTCTGGCTCGACGACAAATCAAGAGAGACTCGTGTGTCTGTGCCTCACCCTCCCTACCAGGAGACCAACTGTTTCTGTCGCCGCTGGTATTGATGAAGTTCTCTCCTCCGCCGCTTTCTGATGACATCACATCTCTGCCATGTTGGTATCCTATGCGAATGGCAGCATTTCGTTCCCTTTGCCGGGTGACCAAAGCAACGGGTGAGTCCTGACCGGCCCTCAGCAGGAGCCAGACCGAGAAGCAGTTTCCGCAGGTTCCTTAGCCCTGGGCCAGAGCAGTTCCGGGAGCCGGAACTCGGCCGCTCTGTGCTCGGTGTATGCTCTGATAAGAGCTGGCTCCAAGAAGCAGTTTCCGCGGGCTCCTTAGCCCTGGGCCAGAGCAGTTCCGGGAGCCGGAACTCGGCCGCTCTGTGCTCGGTGTATGCTCTGATAAGAGCAGGCTCCAAGAAGCACTCAGGCACTGAGCCTGAGTAATCTGTCTGCAAGCCGCAGGCGAATGGCAGCCTGAAATTACCTGTTCTTTGGCTGAATGAGCTGCGGTCAGTCGAAAACAGGGATGGTGACGTCAGCTCTCCAAGATGGTGGCCGCTGGCCTCCTCTGTGGTCTGACCGGTGTGGAGAACCGAAATGGAACGCTTCCTTCCCCCGTCTCGAACCCAGAATTCAGCACTGAGTACGGTGCTTGCACGGCTGGCAGAAACTGCAGCGCTGTATCCCTGCACCACTATCTCCTCCTCGTTTCCCAGCGCGCGCTGCAGACTCTAGCCGCGGGGCGATTTGCTGAATAAGCAGTGTTACCCTCTGTGCGACAAATCTCTCGCGTTTGAGTCCCCGTAGCCGATCCTCGTGCGATGGAAATCCTTCCTCCAGGTTCCGGAGCACCCCACTATTGCTGGAAATTCCTAACAAGATAGCCTTTAGCAGTCCTCTCTCGTCATACTCCCACACAGTGACGCGGCACACGGGGGCAATGCACTCCCCTCGCCGCCATCTTCTCTTTCCTATTTTAACCATTTATATATATAAAATCTAGTGGCCTTAAGCATATTCATATTATTGTACAACCATCACCACTATCCATTTTGAACTTTGTCAACATCATGAACTAAAATCTCACACCCATTTAAACTAACTTTCCACTTCTTCCAGTTTCTGGCAACTACTCTTCTTTCAATCTCTTAAAGTAGTTTTAAACCTGGTTTTTACTTTATATAAGTAAGAGTCAAAATTAGGGGAATCTATGTAATAAACATATGATTACTCATTTGTAGCTTATATCTTTCTCTTGCTACTTGCTTGAAATTTTTTGCAGGTAAAAAAATTATTTTTCATGACACCTCCAATAATTAATGTTTTTTATTTGTTAAAGGCATGCTTTAAAAATTGTATATTTATTCTCTCAAAATTGATTTTTTTAAATCAAGTTTTTTTTTTTGGTTACTATGTATCAGGCATTGTTATAGGGGCTATGGATAAAATAGTGAAAAACAAAACGAAACAAAACTTTTTACCTTCAAAGAATGTATATTTTAGTAGGACAAGACAAATAATATGTTAGTGATAAACTAGGTGGTTATAAGTTCTAAAGAAAAAAATAAACCAAAAATGTAATATTTCAGATCTAAAATGTTAAAAGTATTGTCAGTTTATATTAACTACATAGAAAAGAAAAAGGTTTTAGTGAAAATTCTATTTAACTCCTAAAAAATATTTTAACACTTAGACACTTTTTTCCAATATTTTGGCAGATATTTAGGTGTTACTCAGAAAATTGCATACCTGCCACATATCTCAGTGAGCTGTGTTTAAATAAGTATATAAAATACCTGCTTGGAAAATATTTGTGCATTTCAGAATAAGACTGTGCCTCAAAAGAAACACCTATCATAAATTCAAGTGGAGCCATACAAAAGCCATTCTCAGCCATCTCTTTTAATTAATTTGTTTATTTATTTTGCCATCACTAGGGATTGAACCTAAAGTTTCATACATGCTGGACAAGTGTTCTGCTACTAAGCTACATCCCCAGCCTTATTTATTTATTTTTTTTAAAAGGCAGAGTCTCACTAAATTGCTGAAGCTGGCCTTGAATTGATGATCCTCTTGCCTCAGCCTCCCAAGATTCTGGGATTACAGGCATGCACCACAGTGCCTGATTCAGCTCCCTCCTAATCAAAAGACACTTTCACCTTCCATACTCCTGTCCCATAGGAAGTCCTCTCTCCTTACTCAGACTGTGGTCCATAAAATGGCTACATTAGCATCACCAAGGAGCTTGTTAAAAATGCATAATATTAGACATACTCAAGACAGACTGAATCAAAATTTGCATTTTAGTAAGAACTCCATGTGATTTGCATGTACTCTTAAATTTGAGAAGCACTATTGTAAGCCACTGTTCTAATCTTCAACTTTTCTATCCCTTGAGAATTGGTTTTATGATTAATACCTTGTAGAGGCTGAAAGAGGTAATCTGGTAGACAAGGAAATCAAGGAATCTTGCTTAGCTTGTGACCTTGCAGTCTTAACACCAAATGTATTCAGCAGTGTTGCTGATCCAGAATTTATCATCTCCCTCAATTATTGCAATTAAAGCCTGACTCAGAATTCTAGGATTGGTTAGTAAAAGATTTGGTTTCTTGTAACAAAAATTATCTTGCTGGAAATGGAGATTTGGTTATTAATGAGTTATCTTGTCTATTTTAACACAGAGACTACCAATCTAAATATTAAAAAGTATCATTTATGGTAAAATATGATTTTGGATTTTTCTCCAGAAGTTCCATGCCCCCACTCTGAAAAGGTTCACAGTCAAATAAGTTTGCAAAATTCTGTGTACTACTGTGTTTCATCAAACCTAATTTTATTTTCTGTAAGAAACACATTTTATGTATTCTAAAAAGAAAAAATGCTGCCATACCACAGTTATATTAATGTATTCTGATTTCAAAGATGTTAACATGTAAAATCTTTGCATCTTAGATTAACAAGAATTTATACATAATAGCATACTAATTTATTAGCATATTAAAAGTTTCTAAAAACTTCTGTAGTAACGACATCACATGAAGAGAGAGAGTGTACAGAATGGGAGGAAATCTTTGTCAGCTGTTCCTCTGACTGGGGATTGCTATCCAAAACATATGCACAACTAAAACCACCTAACACCCAACAAACAAACAACAAATATCCTTGGCTGGGACTGTAGCTCAGTGGCAGAACACTTGCCTCTGGGTTTGATCCTCAGCACCACATAAAAATAAACAAAATAAGGCTGTGCTATCCATCTACAACTACAAAAAAAAATTAAGAAAAAAGAACAAATATCCCAATCAATAAACCAGCAAAAGAACTACACAGACATTTCTCAAAAGATGCACAAAGAGCCAATAAATATATGATATAATGTTCAACGTCTCTAGCAATCAGGGCAATACAAATCAAAACTACATTGAGAATTCATCTCAAACCAGTCAAAATGCCAGTTATCAAGAACACAAAAAATAATAAATGATGGCAAAGACGTGGGGAAAAAGTACATTGTATATTGTTGGTAGAACTATAGATGAATACAACCGTTCTGGAAAGCAATATGGAGATTTCTCAAAAAACTAGGAATGGAACCACCATATGACTCAGCTATCCCACTTCTTGGTGTTTACTGAAAAGAATTAAAATCAGCATACTGTAGTGATATAGCCACCTTGATGTTTATAGCAGCACAGTTCACAATAGCCAACTTATGGAATCAACCCAGGTATCCATCAGCAGATGAATGGTAAAGAAAATGTAGTATCTATACACAATGAAGTCTTACTCAGCTATGAAGAAGAATGAAATTATGGCATTTTCTGGTAAATGGATGGAAATGAAGAACATTGTGTTTAGCCATTCTCACAAAATCAAGATTTAAATATTTCTCTCATAGATAGAAGCTAGAACAAAACAAGGGAAAGAAGGAGGGGGGAACTGGATATTATAAAAATATAGACAAAGTCCATGGAGTAGAAGAAGATCAAAAGGGAGGGAGGAGGGACAATAAAAAAGGGAGGAAATGTGGAATGAATTTAACAAAATCACGTTAGATACATATATAAACACAGCACATGGAATTTCACCTTTACATATAAGTAGAAAGAACCCATCAAAAATAAATAAGTAAATGAGACAAAGGAAGATCAGTAAAGAAGAGAAAGGAGGAGTATATGGAGAGAAAGGAGGGGAGGGAAAATCTGGGAAATGGGAACTGAAATCAAATTCCATGTATGTACGGTTTTGTCAAAATGAACCCAACTACTATGTATGATTATAAATGTGCCAATAAGATAGAAAAAGAAAAAAGAGGTCCTTTTCATTTTATTTAATGTACCATTTTCAAATGCGTAGATGATTGTAGAATGACCAGTGTTTTATGTAATTAATTTGAGAAAATACTGTTTTATGAAATTATTACGAACAAGGAGCTTTAGAAAATTCTAAATGTTATCACTGCGAATTTAGGAGTTAACTTTCTGAAATTAAGAGAAAAGTCTAAACAATTAATAAATTTTAAAAAGGAAGCAAGAAAAGATAAGCCAGACCTGGGTGAGAAAGTAAAGACCTTCTTCAGTTCGTTTTTTTCTTAACATTTGCCCATTTCTTTCTACCTAAGGTGTTGGTGTTAGAGAAGTTATATTAACAAATGGATGCCCTGGAGGCGAATCCAAGTGTATTGTTCGAGTAGAAGAATGCCGTGGACCAGCAGATTGTGGCTGTAAGTATTGGTGGGTGACAGAGGGGAAGAGTTCATCTCAGGGAAACACCCTTACCCTCAGATTGCCACTGAATACAAGGAGACAGCCAGTGGATGCGTTGAAAGGAAATCTACAATTTAATTTCCATTCTCTAGACACTTATAACTGTGAGTAACTTTCTGCTTTTGCTTTACATTTTTCAGTGACATCTAAAATTTAACAGATATATTTATCTGCTGTATACTGGACCCTCTCTCTATACTTGGGGTCTGTGGTTGAGTCTGTCCTCAAGTGGAACACTTTTGATGTTTTGGTCATGGCATTTTATCAGTGGGTTGGTAAATCTTAAATTGGGAACTTTGAGATCTGTTCAGCATCCAATTATGCTATTCTGACATTTTAATATCTCTAATGAGGTTTCCTAACCAGTAAATTGGAAGCTACTAGCAGACCTCAAAGTTCAGTGTAACAGATCACTGATTGCCCTTACCTCTTCTCTAGAATTTATTCTGCATTAAAAAACTGAGAGACATTGTGTCTCCTCACTTGCTTTTTTTGGTGACTTTATTATTGTCTTCATCACTCTTCTCTTACCCCACTACATTCCAGCTCCCAATTTTAAGATTTGGTAACTTGCAATATCTAATTGATTTTTATGACTGGGAGTGACTTTTAAAAGTAATGACATATGTGAAGCAACTTATAATGCCCAATGATATTTATGTATTTGATTTTTCTTTTGTTCAGGGGGTAAACCAATTTCAGAAAGTCTTGAAACTATTAGATTGGCATGTGTTCACACATCTCCTGTAAATCGTTACAAATATATGTGGAAACTTCTAAGGGCAGACCAAGTAAGTAATGAACATATGTAATCTGGTGCTTTCCTAGTGAGTGATAAAGTTTGTATCCCAGTTTAGATAACTCTCAGAAAACTCTATTTAAAAGCATTTTGCAAAAGAGGAAAATAATATTGGAATTCAAAATTTTTTCACTATTCAGTGAGATTTAAGACATTCTATATGTCTTAAAGTCAACTAGAAATAGAACTTTTAAACATCCATATAATATGAACTATTTTTATTTTGTAAGTAAGGTTTTTATTTATTTTTAAAGGAGTTGTATATTAATGGCAGTAGCTAATACTAGTTAAAGAATTTTGCCAGGTACTGGGGATTCAACCCAGAGTAGCTTAACCCCTGAGCCACATCCCCAGCCCTTTGTATTTTTTATTTTGAGACAGGGTTTCACTAAGTTGCTCAGGGTCTTGCCATGTCACTGAGGCTGGCCTCCAACTTGTTATTCTCCTGCCTCAGCCCCTTTAGTAGCTGGAACTACAAACATGCACCAACGCGCTCTTCTTAAGCATATAACAACCCTACGGTTGCTATACCATTGTATAGATAAGTAACTGATGTGTAGAGAATAACTTGTCTACAGTCATACAGATAGGAAGTGGTAGCATTGAGATTTGAAGTCTGGATTTTCTGACTCCAAAATCCATGTGCACAATTAATTAGCATACTAGGCTCCAAGAGTCAGTGACTCTTCTTTTTTTGAAGGAAGTAATGGTTTTCTGACCTTAAGTGTAGGGAAGAACATTGATACTTTGTTTTTTGTTTGTTTGTTTTGTTTTGTTTTAATAGCAACCTGTTATACTTGCAAATGATTCAGCAATCCTGGATGTACAAAGAGATATCCACCCCTTGGCTTTCCAGTGTGACACCATGGATAATTCTGAAATGGTAGCATCTATTAAATTCACAGTCTATACATCTAATGGTAAGTGCACAGCAATATTTTGGTTTGCTTATATCTTACACTTCAAAAAGCATCAAAATCACCTGGAGAGCTTGTTAAGACACAAGTCTCTATCCAGCCCAACTCAGTGCTTCTGTTTGAGTAGGTCTGGACTAGAAATGGCATGCAAATTTGCCTTTCTGACAAGTTCCCAGGTGATGCTATTGCTGCTGGTGTCCACAGTGCTGAGAAACACTGGTTTATATCATTGAAGCTTTTCTACCAGATAATAATTAACTTATTTTTCACAAAGTAGCATTAAATGTGGCTCACTTTGGGAAACTGGTCCTTTAAGACCAGGCTTTTAACTTGAAATATATATATTCTTGCATTTACTTCCATCATAAAAGTGAAAGTGGATTAATGGAATTCTCATGAATGCTTACAAAACTCTTAGCACAGAAAAATAATAAAATTAATTTTAAAAATTAAGAAACACGAAGTCAGAGCACTTTTCTTTAAAAATTATCTATTTGAAGAAAATATTTTTTTGATAATGCAGTAATGCATGTCTCTGTGTCACAAAAGGCAAATCTTGTCCTGAACATAATTTTACATGTTGTACATTGTTTCCCTTGTGAGATGGATCTGCATTCATGTCCTTTCAGTTTAATCTATGATGTCTTTTGTATCCAGGTAATCATTTCCTTTTATGTAGGTGCTCTTAACCATTTATAATGTTGTCATTTTTGTTAGAGGCGTGGGGGACTTGATCACAAGTTCTTTTGAGAATCCAATCAAGGCTCTGGATCTTCTTCAGAGAAAAATGTTCAATATACAAACATGGCAAAAGTTATGTGTAATTTTAAGAGAGCTTATGGATTTCCTGAAGCTATTTTTGTACCCCAGGTAAATGGCTTCCGCTATTGTCTAGAGATACCAAACATAATGTAATGTGGTATCTTTATTCAAATGAGAACAGGGTAAAGTGTTTTGGGGGTGATTCTAAAAAATATAAACTATTTACTATTTAAACTTCCTTTGATGTGCTATTTAGCAACTTAAAAAAATCTTCATGGTTAAAGCTAATAACACTAAAAGGATAATTTCAATAAAGTACTAAAAAACGACAGAAGAGAGGACCAAAGTAGCAAACTAAAAAATATCTCAGCTAGCCTTAGTTTATGATATTATGAAAGCCACTGGACCATTCTTGGCACTTGTCCTCACTTCCTGGGTCCTGGGAGAACTGGTTAGTAGTGAGTAGTCTAAACTACTCTCCACCTTCTCTTGGCTAATGTTGCAAGATGCTACATACTCCTCTCATGATTAGAAAGGAGAATGCATTTGCTAGGATGCAAGTTAAGGGCTGGAGAACAGAACTCAAAATGTGCCTGTCCTTTATTGAGATGAAGTTAACTTTGTAGCCTAGGGGTGGTGGGGTAGCTTTGTTGTCTTAGTGCATGCAGTAGTTGAACAACAAAATGTTCTCAGAACACGATTAGATTCTTTCAAAAATTACAATTTGGGTACATCACTGTAAAAGACCCTTTTGACTGTTTAGACATCAAACAAATGTTTGGGTTAGAAATGTCCACATAGTATTGTATTGGCTTCCATTTTATATATTACCATTTTTCACTCCCACAAGAGCTGTCTTTCATAAATAGGCCTTGTTATGGCTTGGTTTGTGTGCCCTTTCCCCAGAAAAGAGACTTTGAAGTCTTGCCTTTCCCAGTACTCAGAATGTGGCCATAATTGGAAAGACCATCATTGTAGATGTAATTAGTTAAGATGAGATCCTAGTAGAGTAGGATAGGCCTTAACCCAATGTGACTGGTCTCCTTGTAAGAAAAGGGGAATTTGAAGAGGGGAGAGAGACAAAGGCAGAGGAATGTCGTGTGAAGACATAGGCATATGAGGAGATGGGCACGTGAAAACAGAGATTGGACGTATGCTACCACAGACCAAGGAACATCGGGGCTCCCAGAAGCTGGAAGAGGCAACACAGGATCCTCCCTTAGACCCTTCAGATGGATCATGGTCCTACCATCACAATTCCCCCCTTATTTTTTTTTTTTTTGCCTCCAGAACTATGAAACAATAAATTTCTGTTGTTTTTAAGTCACATAGTTTGTGGTACTTTGTTATGGTGTCCCGAAGACATTAACACATACATAAGCTTTGTTTATATCTAAAAAGTGAGTGTATTGAAATTTGACCTATTTTCCATTAGAAAATTTCAATAGATGTAAAAGCAGTCTAGGTAACCCTTGAGAGAAGATTACTGTTGTAATGAACTAAAATCTTTATATGCCTCATTGTCTACCTTCTCTCTCTGCTAATGTTGCAGGGTAGTACATAAATGGAAACTAATTTTTGCATTTCTCCTCAGGTTTTAGTTCTCAAGGTATTTTTAACTTTAAGTTTTTTTTTTTTTAAAAAAAACCCTCACTTCTATATATCTAACATTATTTTACGATAAAAAGATTTTTAAATCTATCAAAATTGGGATACAAACATGGATGTAATTTTTCCATTATACTTGGAACTATTTAATATCACTGTATTGAGTTTATACTCTAGAATTACTAGGGAAAATGGGGAGTTATAATCCATGGTGTTTAAAGGTCAGAAAAAAAATATTCAGAAAAATAATTGAGATTTTCCATAGAGGAGACTACTTCTGATACACTGGCACTTACCAAAATAGTCAAAACAAAAAATTTTGCAAACATTACATCTCTCTGGACCTTGCTTTACTTGAACCGTATAAAATGATATTTGGGTCTGATGGTTTCTATGGTCCTTTTCAGATTTTTTTATTCAATGATTCTAGAATTTGGGGAACAGAAAGAGCCATAAGAAAGTGATTTAATTCACAAAACAAGTAATCCTTGATATAAATTGGCTTTTCACCAGTTTACAATGTAGCAGTGCTCCCACACATACTGTAAACTAGCTTTGTTTCTTTAGTAGCCTTATTTGCAGATAGAGCAGACACATATGGGAGAGAAGGCTTAATTTAAGAGTGGTGTGTGGATATTTGTATAGAAAGCAATGAGCCTCGATCTCAGTTTTATATTTTTAACATATTAAAAATTAGAGATGTATCATAATCCTAAGCATAAAACTAAACCCATAAATCTTTAAGAAGAAAACATAGAGGAAAATCTGTGTTATTCAGTAGTAGGAAAAGTTTCTTAGACATGATTCACAGAATGATCACAGTAAAAGGAAATAATGAATGTATTAAGACTTCATTAAAATTTAAAAACTTGAGCTCACTTAAAGAAAATCATTTGGAGATTGAGTAGCCAAGCTAAAATCTGGGAGAAACTCATAAGACATGGACAGCCAATACAATCAGTTTGAGAAAGTCCTTACCGTTTCTTAGAAAACTAAGTATACATCTACCCTATATGACCCAGCAATTCCATTCTTTGGTTTCCAACAGAACTGATATATATTCACAAAATGACTTCTACAAGAATGTTCATAGGACTATATAATAGGCTTTAAACTGAAGCAGTCTAAATATTCACCAGTGGCAGGATAAATAAATTGGAGGACTACTCTGTATAAAAAAGAAAAACCATCATCATATGTAACAGTGGGGGTGAATCTCTAACACTGTGCTGAGTGAAAAGAAGCTTTATACAGTGTATGTGCCCATTCATATGAAGTTATAGAAAAGACAGAACTAATCTTGGTGGAAAACAAGATCAGATGCAATACTGTTTGCTTCTGGGGCTTGGGCAGGAATTAACCCAAAGGGGCTTGAGGGAACTTTCTGGGATATAGGAGCATTCTTTGTCTCCATCAGCATTTGATTACTTAAGTGTGTTTGCCTTTTCCAAATCTAAGCAATGTACATTTAAGATCTTTGTGCAATTCATTACACATAAATTTTATGTCAAAGAAAAAATATAAGCAAATGTTGAATTCTAGCTATTGATAGGCCACCTACAGAATTTGGGGAAAGTTGTGCTGATGCCTGCAAATTACATGAAAATGTAAGATGAGTTAAAGGATTAATAGTGGGATGGATGGATGAATGAATGAAGGAATAGTAAAAATATTATTGAAACTATTTAGGTGGTGGTAATATAGGTGTTTGTTGGTATGTTCTTTCAGACTTTTTTGTATGTTTAAACATGCATATTTCAGACATGCCAAACAAAGTTCATTAACAATTTTCTTCCTACTAATTCTTTTTGTATTTTCTTAGAGTTGTTTTTTCAAATATAAAGTTTCCATTTAGATTTTCATTTCCTTTTTTTTTTGTTTGTTTCCAGTAGAAATAATCATCAGGTGTGTGTGTTTTCTTTAGAATTGCAGATGAGAAGATCAAGCCGACCAGACACTGATGCAGTCCTAGTTTTTGTGCTGACCACAGGAGTCATTATCTGTGTATTTGTGATCTTCGTATTGATCTTCATAATTATTAATTGGTAGGTGAATGCCCAGGATGCATTGTCACCTTTGATTGACATCCTCCTCATCTCCCCCTCCCTCATCTAGTGAAAAATCCTGGCCATGATGTCTCCAGCATGTGTCTTGAAATTGTCCAGCTCCCTTCATTCCTCCTGTGACAATGCTAGTTCAGGCTATCCCATCTCTTATGTGGATGCTTTTAAAAATGATCTTATGACTTTCTTCCTAGCCATGAGAGAGCGTTTAAATGCAATTCTTAGGAATTTATAAGGCAATTCCTTAAAAAATTATTTAATGAATATTTGTGTTGTTCAATTGTAGTTCTCACAACTTTAAAACTTGATTATTGTAATCTACTAATTCATTTATATGAAAATATATCTAATGTCTGTATGAACATTACACCCTGGTAAGTACAAGCATTCATCTACTAGCCCAATGCAGCTGGTACATTACAAACTAAAGCTGATCTGTGAATAAAAGACACATCTATATATAGAAAATGTAAATAGGAGTCTCATTTAGTTTTTGTTTTCACTTCATATTATGGTTTTTGTTTCGTTCTTGTTTTTTTCCCTTAGGGCAGCAGTGAAAGCTTTCTGGGGGGCAAAAGCCTCTACAACTGAGATACACTCAGAGCTGAGTTCTATGAGATACAAAGACTCAACTTCTCTTGACCAGTCACCAGCAGAAATACATGGACACGAAGATGATGCTTTAAGTGAATGGAATGAATGATGCATGGATGACATATGACAAACCAGAGGATATTAGAGAATATCAGATTTATTATTATAAAAATAAAATATATACTGAAATACTTTAATAACGTTGCAACAAATTTACCACAGTTTGGAACTAATTCAATGTGAGGATAGGCTCTTTAATCAGTGGCACACTTATTTGTGGTACAGTTATCAAAAGTTACTTTTAATTTGTTCTTAATATTTGCAATTTCAGGTAATAGCTTTGGGGATGTTTATCTAGAGGTATGTGTGTGTGTGTATACATATATATATATATATATATATATATATATATAATGCGTATATATATAATGTGTATATATATAATGCATATATATATACATATATATTTTCAATCACTTTGATCATTTTTTAAATTATTTGCCCTTCTAACCTAAATAAGAGAATTGTAACATAAAACATGCCTTGGATATTAGAGTTTTTCCTCCTTGGTGCACTGGATTGAACTTGCTAAAGCAAATCACACCTTAGAGTCTCTGCATTTCACATATACAAAGCATCACTTGTAAGACATGAAATAATGATAATGACAACTGAGGCAGTGACTACTATGTGCCAAGCATTGCTCAAGGCATTTTATGTAAATATTAGATAATTTAATTATGGTTGTATAAAGGAAATATCTAAGAAAGAACAGAGAGGAACTTGGAAGTAGCTAAGGAAATAATATGAATTTAACAACCTGTATTTCTCACAGGAACAGTGAATTAAGGACTATTGAATGACTGCTGATAAGTACCTTCATTGCCCTTAGTATGGTTGATAACATCTCAGAGCCAAGATACTTATTTTAGAACATGATAACTGCCTTTTTGTGCTAACAAAGTCTTGATCAACTATTACACAAGATACCCAGATACTAGATAATTTGATTCAGTAGACTTCAGAAATTGCTTTTCAGAGGCTGTGATAGTAGCATAAAATGATTTAATTTTTTCTGTTTAGATGAGTTCTATGCCAACATCATTGATATTATTATGAGATTTATAGGATGCTACCATTAACTCTTTGCACACCTATGCAGAAGATATTTTAAGTGGGCATTTATGTTACACCTCCCTCCTATATTATAGAAATAGTATGCGTGAGGAAATTACCCATCATTGAGAACTTAATTCTCTTCCATAATGGTTGTTAATTCACTCTAACGTTATGCAGCCAAGAACTATATAAAGAAGTCAAGAGTTCCCAACAATGACCAAGATTGGTGAGCATACCTTAGGCGCCAACATCAGGTGATAAAGGTGGTTGATAGACACAGGTTGCAATTTTCTGTAGTCTTGAATGTGGTGTAGAATGAACCAGATAACATTACTGACCTTATTGAAATACATTCAGATTTCCTTCTGTTAACATAATGATAATGTTTCAATTCAAAATGATTTTCTCTCCAGAGTGCTTCTATATAATCTATATGTTCTCTGTTTCTGTCTTCTTGGTCTTTTAAAAATTGATGTCATTTTTCTATTTTGGTTTCACTTTATATTTTAAATCTGCTTCTTCGGGCATTTTTGTTTCATTCTGGAGGACAATCTTTTTGGAATTCATAACCCATCACTGTTGTGATCCACCATCTGTCTCAAAAAACATAGAATCCATTTACATGGTTATTTAGGCTTTGAGGTTTGTGCAGTTTTATTATCTGTGATCACGTCATTTGTATGATGGAAAACAGTTTGTCTTTGACAGTTTTCTGATTCTTGTTGAAAATAAAACTTGGTTGCTGAATATCAAGTTTTATTAACATTTAAAGGAAATAAAATGAAAAAAGGAAACCTTTCTCTGATACTCAACTTTAACATTTTGTGAAAAATATCAAGTGTATTTAAATAAATGGTAGGTATTCAAATATTTTTGCTTATTGAGAAGTTAAAATTAAACAACAATTATTTAAATCATGCTCTTAGAGACATATATATGAGTTTATTATTCTTTGTACCTATTTATAACTATCCTGAAATCAATCATTTTGGCTCTCTAATGTGTATTTTCACTAAAAAATGAAGTACATTATACTAATCTGCTAAAGGAATCTAGGATGAGAAAAGATTCAGAGGTGGAAATGCAAACTGTTGCCTTCTATGATGACAGTAGAATATGTCCTTGAGAATGTTCCTTAGCTGGAAAGGAGTTTGTGTAGAGCTACCTATATTGCTCACTGATTTCTTATTCACTCAAATACATTCTTTTTTTTTCTCCACGAGCATTGTTTGTTGAGGATAATAGAAACATCACAGCTCTCCTTCTGTACATTAATTTTCTCCCTTTCCTGGGAGATATGGTTTTCTTCCAGGCATTACTGAGACAAAACTCAAGGTACTGTTAGACAAACCAGTTGGGGTTAAGCCCTCTCATCAGAGAGGCATTGTAAAATTTGTATTATTTATGCAGTACCCCAAGGTAACTTGAATATGTGCTTTACAAGGAATAGAAATCATCTGACAGTAATAAAATCATGTTCTTCCAGAACAAACAATTTAAGGCCCTAGAGGTATTAGGGACAAGAAAGAGTACAATGCAAGTGATACTTTTTTGTAAACTCTGGAGGAAAGCAACATGCAGCTCACAACATGCAGCTAACATGCCTCCATAAAGGAAGCAAATATACTGGGTTTCTTTGCTGCAGGACTAGGAGCGTGTTGATGTGCATCAGTTGAGTCCTGCAGGGGAGGATGACGTGGGGTGTTGGCCTGAAGTTTTGAGAGCCTGAATTTGGTGGTTAATGATGCCAGAAGTGATGGGGAGTGGGGGGTCAGAGGAAGAGGGGGATGGGCTGTGGGATGGGGGCTGTGGGAAGGGTGTGGAAGAGTTATAGGCAGATGCAGAGTCGTGGGATCCTGGAAGGTGAAGAGAAGCCACAGCAGAGTGGGAGAAACATAGACTGAACAGCAGGAAAGGAAGATGGACTTGGCAGTAGCATTTGGCAAAGACTAGAGTTGAGAACTGATGAGAAAGAGGCCAGTGAAAAAGGTTTTGTGTAAATCAAGGCAGGATGTGATGAGTGTCTTGGCAGCAGAAAGAAATTAAAAACAGATTTAAGGGAAAAAATATTTTAAGTAAAGCTAGATATGAGGATATGCACGTACAGAGAACACGAACCCCACAGCCAAGTAAAACTCTTCTCCCCAACTTCCATGTCAAGTAGCATCTATTTTATCGAAGATCCTTCTTTGACCTTCAGTAGCACTGTTTTCTACCTACATCTCTTTTCCTATGGTTTCAATCTTTCCTTTGGATGCCTCTAATTATATATCTCCAATCTGAACAGATCCTTAGAGCTTTAATTTTGGTTTTCTGCTGAATGGATATTTCCTCATGGTTGCACAGCTATCCTCTCAGAATATATAAAATGGAAATTTCCTTTAATTATAAATAAATAGTACCCCCTCCATTATTCATGCTCAAAACCTCATCCTTATGTATGCAAGTAATCACCAAGGCCAGCAAGGTCTCCCCAGAATCCATTCTTTCCATCCCAGTTTGGGCTCACCTCTTCTTAACCATCATAGATGGTATCTCTGCCAGCTGCCTCTGGCTATTCAGTGCCCCAGAATACAGATTTTAACATTGGTGAAAACATTGTTTCCATTTTCTATGTGAAGAATTTTACTTAGTTTTCATTCAATGCTTCTTTTATTCTTTGACAGATTGATAGTGTTTTAGCTTTTTGTTGTTGTTTTTGATATAAACAAAAGACCCGACAAGAACAATTAGAGGAGGAAAAGTTCATTTGGGGGCTCATGGTTGAAGAGGTCTCAGTCTATAGATGGCCAACTCCATTTGACGGGCCTGAGGTAAGGCAGAAAATTATGGCCGAAGAGTGTGGTGGAGGAAAGCAGTTCAGCACATTATGCCAGAAATGAGAGAGCTATGTTCCACCAAGGACAAAATATAAGCCCCAAAGCCACACCCCTAGGAACGTATTTCGTCCAGCCATACCGTACCTTGCCTATAGTTACCACTCAATTAATCCCTATTGGCATTAATTTACTAATTAAGTTAAAACCCCGATAATCCAGTCATTACACCTCTAAACTTTCTTGCATTGTCTCACACATGAGCTTTTGGGGGATACCGCACATCTAAACCATAACACATAGTGTAGTAGCCCAAACTCAACTTGGGACTTTGTCTTTTTAGACCCTCGTGTATCTTAAGTTTCAACAAAATCAATCCAATTCCCCTTCAAGCATATGTGCTATGCCTGCATCTTTACTTTTATTTTTTCTTTATGTGGGAATTCTAATATTCTTTTTCCTTCTAACTCTCACTCTTCATTTCCTGTTGAATCTCAATCCTAGCCACATGTTATGAGGCAGCCACTCAGAAAACACTCAAGTTCGAATTAGCCAACTTAAGAATTTTTATTATCTGGCCAGAGTCTGTCCTTCACAGAGTCCAGTTCTCCCTATGGGAGAACAGCCCCAAATTGTCTGTAGCCAGAGTATTTAAGGAAGAAAACCATATTCTATGGAATCTGCAAGTTGCAAGCAAGCAGTATACAAGGACTGAGAAAGCAGTTAGCAGAGCAAAAGCAGACAACCACATCCTGGGTTAGAGCACATTTGTGGGTCTACATCCTGGGTTCGAATACCTCCATGGGCATATAAAGTACAGAAAAACAATTTTTTTAACATCTTAAAAATATATGTCAGTTTCACACAGGAGTCATTAAAATGGAGTCACTGGCTATACCAAGCTATATTGATTTAACCTTATTAATCTCTATTAACCTACTAGCCTATATTTATCTATAACTATACTGGCCTACTGACTTATACTTATCACCTCACATTGTTTTATATCTTATTTCCTGTAGCTTATATTCTATGTCTTACAGTTATATGATTATCCTGCTATTTCTTATGCTTACTTCTAACTTATTACTAGGGCAGTTTAACATTACTCATCTCATAGTACTTATTTCTATTATCCTAATTTACTTATTCTGCTTATTAATATATCTATAATCTACATCGATTAGAATCAGATTATAACACATGCTTCAAGGTATTTCTTCATGAAGTTTCCCTTTTACCACTGTACAGACG